TGCTCTATTTCTTGTTGCAAATGATCCAAGTGCAGATCTTGAGAAAGCTGAATTTTTTATTAATGATGATAACGAGGAGCCGAGTTTGTGGGTTTTGGTATCTGAAGATATGGTCCCTAATAAAACTGAAGAAAAGAGTGGCATTGACAATGAAAATTATGTAGTTGTGAGTGAAGAGCATGTGGTGGATGGAGTGGCTACCTTTATGGCTAGGTGCATTTTGGCGAACCCAAAATCTCTGGTAAGCGGTAATTTAACACGATAGTGATCCCCTTCTTTGCTTCTTGTAATTCGTTTTCTATTGTTAGTGCATTGGCCCTCATAATTTGTCTTATTTCTTGAAAATGCAGAGTTTGAGCCCTATCGAGCTACAAAAAGGCAGGTTTTCGAGAGTGTGTGTGTGTGTTTGGGTTCTTTTCTTTTCTTTTTATTTTCCCCCTTTTGAATGAAACGATATGGAAAAAAAAGTGCCACTTAGCAATTTGTGTTAGTTATTGACTCATTTTGGCCTGTGTGGAAACACACACACAGAGATGTGTATATTGGTTTTTTTTTTTCCTCATATGGCGGAAGTCTTACGAATATTGATTACTTTTAATCATTTACAGCTGTGACAAAAACTTTGGGAGGCATGAATAAAGTCGAGAAAATGCTGAATATTTGGCATGCTGGGAAGGTGTTTTACCTGCTAGCTACATGGGGTCTTGCTCTAGCCAGGTAACTTTTGAGCTGGTATTATATTTACTTAATACTCGAACAAATAGTAAATTTTTATATCCACAGTATGCTTGATGATTGTTTTGCCAATAGGTTATTCCTGTTGAGAATATTTAGTATGTCAGCATAGTTGATTCCTTGTCCTGTTGTTTTCGGTTGCAGTTGATTTTTTAAAGATTTATCTATCAATTTTAATTTTCCGGTTTATGGTTAGCTGCCAATGTATATTTTCTCCATTAGCTAGAACAATATTTGTTCCTTGAAGCTGTAGTGATTGAACACTGTTTACTTAACATACCTTCTGTTTTTGCAGTTTGTACCGAGGTCGAGCTATGCTGAAACTTGCTACACTTGGGGTTCATCACTCCAGCAAGATGGCTCTGAAGGTCTTATAAAAAAACAATAAGGCCTGTTCTTGTGAGTAAATGTTCGATTGTTCCAACTCTCGTTTGCTGTTTATATTGTGAAGTCCCATGAGGGAAAAAAAAGAACGAAAAACTTGTGTTACGTTCTGCTTATTGTCAAATGTACATAAGTGTGGTGTGGATGCCATTGAACGCGATTCCGTAAACTGTAAATATAAGACACGCATTGGTGGTGATTGCTCATAAAGTTGATTTGGTTTGAGAATATTATAAGTGTTGAACCACATAATATGAATCATGTTCCAATTCATGTTAATTCCATTGGTGATTTCACAATTCTATACATGTCATTCATATAATTGGATGAACGAATTGTACATGCGAATGGCATTAACACAATAGAATAGTTATCGACTGGTAAGTAATTTCGAACGAGGCATGAAATTAACAGAGTTGCAGTCAATTATACATCGCTAGAACATTATATATCCTGCTTGAACATCAGACTGGATAGCCACAACACGCGCCACAGTTTACAGAAGAGCCAAAAACAGAAAAGGAAAAACAAGTAAAAAAGACAAAAAAAGAAACAAACAACAAAATTACAAAACCACGACGATCGGGTGTCACGGGCTTGGGCCAATCAACGCTCGTTTCAAGGCTCTTGTTCTAAGAAAGTCTTGTCGTTGTTAACATTAACCTTTGGGTTACCGTTCGCTTGGATGACATCAGCACCGATGACCGGTAGTTCTTGGGCTTTGCCTTCATCGTACAGTGGTGAAGCCTTGTCTGAAGCTGAGTTCTCTCTGCTTTTGCCCCAAACAACAGAGTAAAGCCCAGACACTATGATCACTGCCCCTATTAGGCTGCCATTTTTCAAATTTGTGTGAGTCAGTCTAAGTCTAATGGTTAGACGAGTCAGATCCATCATATGCATACTTATACGAACGGATGTCATACTTCTGTTTATGTTGTTTTTTAAAGTATCTGCATTGTGTATAATATTGCGTATATTTGTTCAAAAGTATAACAGACTAAAGGTTGAGTTTGCTTAACGACAACCATACCGAACAAAAAAAAAAGGTTAGAATAATAAAATGTGGAGGTCGAGAATTGTTACCTTCCGAGATGAACTTGCTCGGCCAAGAATATGGCGCTCAAGATGGCTGTGATGATCATACTAAGAGGACTAAACGCGGTCACGAAAACCGGGCCTCTCGTCTTGTTCACTACGCTTTGCAGGTAGTACGCTAATCCCGAACAAACAATCCCCTGTTAGTTATCATTTATCAAACACTTTTTGTGAGTGAGCTGATGAATGGTGATCTTTTTTTCTTTTTCTTTTTTTGTCGAGCGAGACAAAAGTGAAAATAAGTTGCATCTTTATTCCGGTTTCTATATTTAGTAAGTGTAAGTAACTCACCGAGTATACAGCTGCAAGAAGCCTAGAGTCGAACCCGATGGCCCAAGCACTCTTTCGTCGCTCCATAATCACGGCCACGACTCCGCCTTCCAAAGTCCCGAACACGCATACCAATGACGTCAGTGACAGGGCAGCCGGGTACTCTTTCAGTGTCTTGTTCTGTTTTCAAAATCATGACAAACAACACAATTTCATTAACACAAAATCAAACATAAGAGTGTTTTGTAGTTAGGTAGAGATGGCCACCGGGTCGGGTCCCTCCCATGTATTAAACGGGTCGGTTCAAAAATTTTATTTTTTTAATACCCAGAACCGGTAGGTCGGGTCAAACGGAAAATTTTTAACTTTTACTCGAAAAAAAAGTTGGATCCTTCAGGCCCACAGAAAGTGTTAATGAAAGGAAATAATAATTTATGCTAAGCCTATTGGGCCAAAAAGAAAGGGCTTACTTGCAAGATAAAGAAGGCGGCCCAGCCCACGATACAAGCGAGCATCATAATAGTGCCGGAGACCCAGTGCTGATCGGCGGAGGAGCCGGCAGCCTTGTGGCTGCCGCCGCCGTGGAAGAGGCCCAGCGGTGGGCCCTTGTACAGCGTCATCACCATGGCTCCGGTGACTGTTATTAGTGTTCCGACGACTTTAGCTAAGCTTGGAGTCTTTTTCAGATTCACCTTCTCCATCCTAATTTTTAATCAGTGATATATATATTTGTAGTTATTAATTACATAATTAAATTTGAATCAATTAATGGAAACTCTACTTCTTTTTTTCCTAATAAATTGTTTTTTATTTTTTATTGATAATTTATTTATAGCAATTTATCATATAATACCTGAAAATTACAGCCAATACGAAGGTGATGGCCGGGAGAACGTTAACGGACGCGGCTGCAAATGTAGCGGACGTGTACTGTATCGACACACCGTACAAATTCTGGTCCAACACTGGCCTGATTTTTTAGTTCATTTTTTAATTTTTTTGGGAAGAAAATACATAAATCATTAGCATATAGTTGAAATACTTGAAACGAGTAGAAGTACTGAGCTCGAGCTCCTGATACTCAAGCTCCAGGTTGAGTTTTTAATGAGTCGAGCTAAGATAACAGGTCAAAAGTTTTGTTTCCCATGCTGCGCCAGCTCGACTCATTTATTAAACGACTTGATCGTAACTTTAAAATTTCTTATAGTTTAGGTTTTAGTAGGTAAAATGGTGGGGTATTTTTTAATATACTTTAGGAGATCATTAGTAGAGAGTATTTAGTGTATAGCAAACTTTACACATGCATGCACGCATGTGATAAATCAGTTATTATACACATTTCATAATCTATTTTTTACGTGGTATTTTAGTATTATATATAGATACTATATAATTGTGTGAAATTATAAAATGAACTTATTCTAGGACATATATATAATTAAGGTATTTAAGGACATACTCCAAGAAAGCAAGAACCAGAATCTTGAAGAATATTGATTTTGTCATCTTAGGCCTTATTTTCCTGAGAAAAAAAGATGGAAAAAATATCACACGGTAAAAGTCGAAGAAAATACGATCGTTTCAAATGAATAAAAAAAAAATTAATAATCTTACTTCTCGAGAAAATACGCGAACGGAGCAAACACCAGTGTAGCGACTGCATGGCGGTACACGACGAAAATCCAATGGCTAAATCCGCGCTTGAACGACACAAGGGTGATAATGTACATTCCTGCATACCCAAATTGAAGTGATATCATGGCTAAAAAGGGTTTTATCTTGTTTAGAGTTACACTCATGGCTCCCCACAAGTTTTGTTCACCCATATCTATTATCTAGTTTTTCTTCTATCTTTTGATATGTCTCTCTAATAAGATGTTCTTGTGTGAGAGCAAAAGAAAATTGAGTGCTTGTGGTGTACAAAAATAGCTTTGTTGTGGGCTTTTTATACACACAAAAAAGGCAAGCACAAGTGTGAAGAAACAAAAACCCACAATATTTTGAATGTAACATATCTATTGCATGGTGGCAATATTAACTTTTGAATTATTCACCTTTAAGATTCCTTATCACCACCTAAAAATCCAAAGCCAAATTGCTCAATCAACAAGAATATTCAAAGAGAAAATAATTAGGAACATAAATGATTTTGTAATTAAATAATAATATTGATGTCATGGTATAAGCGGTGTCGTTTCTCTTTGTGTGGAAAATGAGTGGACACTTTAATTGAAATGGCATACATTATTGATGACCTTCTTATGTTATAACTTTTGTTGAGTAAGTTAATTAACCCCTCAATTTGAAAGTTTTTTAATATTATTTTATTATTGTTAGTAGTGATTATTGTCTAGCTACTTTAATTATATGCTAAGAAGGGTGGACTCAATTGAGATATATAAAGACTTTTTAATATTTTAGAAAATTCTGGTGCGTTAGATTGAGATGTGTTAAGATTTTTAATTTTTTTTTAAAGTCTTTGTGTATTGAAATGAAATTTTAAAAAGTCTTACGAGATCTTGAAGTATTTAACTTATTTGAGACTATGATTTGTTAAGAACTTGGTAGAATTTCTAAGGAAAAAATCTTGTACGAAATCCCACTTCAAAATTCCACCACTAGACTTAAGATTTCACATAATTCTTCCAACATCTGAAAATCTTAAAAAGTTTCAAAATGTCACTTAAAATTCTAATTGAATACACCCGTAAGTGTTGGTGGCATTTAGTTTGAATATATTGACTTCCTTATTCAATTATTTCACATTATATGAAAGCTCCCTCCCGTAACACCATTTGATACAAAATCACCGATGTAAGTAAATTTTATTTTATAACAATTGACATTCCACTTTTATGATGCTAGTCGAGATTACTCCAAACAATGATGGACCTCTTCCTCTAGCGCTACGTAGTTGTTAGATACAATTGGAAGATAATATGAGTGATAATGTTCTGTTGTGTTATTTCTCAATGGTAAAGAGTTTATATACAGTACAGAGAAGACAGAGAAAGAGCCTCACAAACTAAGCCTTATTATCATGTGCTAATCTTCTAACTAACAGCCTGGCATAACAAACTAATTAGTTGACTTATGACTTTACTCTAACACACCCCGTTGAAACCGAGCTAGGGGAAGTCAATGACTTGACACACAAAGGCAATTTGGAGCACAAAGACTGAAAGCGGCCAGACGCAAGCGGCTTAGTAAGAAGATCGGCAAGTTGAAGATCTGTAGAAATGTATCGAACATCAATTTCATTGGCGGCTACTTCTTCACGAAAAAAATAGACATCAATTTCGATATGTTTGGTGCGAGCATGGTGAACCGAATTTGAGGCAAGGGCTGCAGCACTTACGTTGTCACACCATAAGATGGATGGAAACTCAAAGAAAAGACCAAGCTCTTGAAACAAGGAACGCACCCAAATGAGATCAGAAGTTGCAGAAGCAAACGACCTGTACTCAGACTCTGCTTTACTTCTGGAGACAACTTGTTGCTTCTTTGAACTTCAACACAAAAGATTTGAACCCAACATAATGAAGTGACCCCAAGTGGATCGATGATCATCCAAGCAACCGGCCCAATCGACATGTGTGTAAGCTTCAAGAATGAACCGTTGCACAGGCTTAAAGGACAAACCAAGGGAAAGAGAGCCTTTGATGTACCGCAGCAGATGCTTACAACATAGCCAATGATGAACAGTGGGACCATGCAAGAATTGACTCAACTTATTAACCGCAAAGGAGATATCAGGCCTAGTCATGGTTAAGTACTGCAATGCTCCCACCACACTCCTGTAAAGAGTAGGGATTGAAAAGGGCTCACTATCTTCAAGATGCAATTTATGAGATGGAGAAATATGAGTGGAGACAGGCTTGCAGTAGACCATATTGGTTTTGACTAGTAAATCTAAGGCATATTTAGATTGATTCAAAAGAAAACCATCTTCTACTTTGAGGGCCTCAGAACTAAGAAAGTGATTGACCTCCCCCATAGATTTCAGAGCAAATTGTTGTCCAAGAGTGGCAATAAGATCATGAATAGAAGCAACACTGTCACCAGTTATTAATATGTCATCAACATAAATGAGCACCAAAAGCAGTGCACCATTTGACCGTTTGTAAAATAAAGAGGAATCAGAGACACATACTTTAAAGGCAAGAGACTGGAGAAAGCCCTTAATTTTGGTAAACCAAGCACGGGGCGCTTGCTTAAGACCATAAAGTGACTTACAAAGCTTGCAAACTGCAAAAGGTCGAGTAGGATCAACAAAACCTGTAGATTGAGCCATGTAGACTGTTTCTTGCAAATCCCCATTTAAAAATGCATTATTAATATCAATTTGTTGGATAGACCACGAGTAGGTGGCTGCAAGTATGAAAATAAGTCTTATTGTGCTAGCTTTGACTACGGGGCTGAAAGTTTCCATAAAATCTACACCAGCAGTTTGTTGAAAACCTCGAGCTACAAGCCTAGCCTTGAACTTGTCGACAGTGCCATAAAGCTTGTACTTAGTTCTAAACACCCATTTATTTGTAATGACCTTCATGTCTGGAGTTGGATTTACTAAACTCCAAGTGTGATTGTTTAGCAATGCCTGAAACTCACACTGCATGGCAGCAAACCACTCAGGCCCAGAGAGAGCCTCAGCAATGGTGGCTGGTTCACTAAGGAGAGGTTGACTAAGGTGAGAAGAATAAGATTTGGGCTTAAAATGCAAGCCTTAGACATAGTAACCATGGAGTGTGTAGGTGGAGGCTCAGATGTTAAGGGTGGCTGCTGAGAGGGTGAAGTACTGGAAGAGGGTGAAATAGGAAAATTAACAAATAGAGGAATAGTAGATAGAGATGAAGGAGAATAAGCAGTATTTGAATGAGAAGGAGAAGAAGAAGAAGAAGAAAGATTTGAATGAGAAATAGAAGAAGAAGAATTTAAAGCAGGTATAGGAATAGATGCAGGTGGGATGAAAATAGGAGCAGAAGAAGGAGCAGAAACTGAAAAGAGAGAAGAAGAAACAAAGAGCTCTGCATAAGGAAACTTAACTTCATTGAAAGCAACTGAGATAGCAGTGTAAAGCCTACCATGAGGACTGAGGCAAATGTAGCCCTTGTGATGAGAGCTATACCCAAGAAACAAACAATTAGAGCTCCTGAACTGAAATTTATTGGCATTGTAAGGTCTAAGATAGGGGAAACATGCACATCCAAATGGTTTAAGAAAGTTCATATCAGGTGATTTGTTGAATAGCAGAGAAAAAATAGAGGCATGATTGAGAACAGGTGTAGGAAGCCTGTTTAAGGTGTAGACAGCAGCAAGGAAAGCATGCCACCAAAATTTAAGGGGCATATGAGCCTGAGCCAAGAGGGAAAGACCCATTTCCACAATGTGCAGATGCTTCCCTCAACCTTGCCATTTTGCTGGTGAGTATGGGGACTAGGGTGTCTAAACTGAATACCAAGATTACTGAGGAGAGGCACAAGAGACCTATATTCACCACCCCAGTCAGATTGCAAACACTTTATTGAAGATTGAAATTGGGTGGCAATGAACTTGACAAACTTCTGGAAAATAGGTGCAACTTAAGATTTGGATTTCAATGGAAAAACCCAAGTGTACCTTGTGTAATCATCAACAAAATGCAAATAATACTTGTAGCCATCAACATACAACACATAAGAAGGGCCCCATACATCTGAGTGCACAATTTCAAAAGGAAAAGTAGTCTTTGTTTGTTGAGAATTGAAATGCAGCTGATGAAGCTTTCCAAGTTTACAAGCATCACAAAAAGAAAGTGAAGAAGGAACAGACAAATGCATACTACTCATAACTCTTTGAAACACATTGAAGCATGGATGACCAAGTTTTCTATGCCAACAAGATAGAATATCAGGAGAAGTTACAGAGGCTGCAAGACTGCAAGGAGAAGTCACTGAATGTGAAGAAGGAACATGAAGCAAGATAGAAGCATGCTTGGACAAGTCCAGCTGGTACAATCCATCTTTAAGCACTACTTCCAATAGTACTTGTTGAGTGATCTTGTCCTCCACAAGGCAAATATCAGCATGAAATTCTATCACAATGTTATTATCTTTAGTTAACTGAGAGATAAACAATAGATTTTTGGTAATGTGTGGGACAATGATTATATTGTTTAAAAGCACATAAAGTTGACAGTGAGTAGCAATAGAGGAAGAACCAGTATGAGAGATGTGCAGTTTTGACCAATTACCAACAAGCACCTGTGCATTACTTTGATAAGTGTGTGCTTGAATGGACCAGTTTTCAAGATTGACAGTCAAATGATTTGTGGCACCACTGTCGAAATACCAAATTGGATCAGATCCATAGGTAGATGTTGCAGCACTGAGAGGTGGAGATGCATTAGATTCACCTATATGCACCTGAGGAGCAGGAGGAAGAACATCCTGACCGGTGAAGCTAATATCAAACCTTTTGTAGCATTTTAGGGCAATATTATTTGATTTACCATAGAGTTGGCAAATAACCCTATCAGAATTCCTATAGAAGCGACCGCGACCATGATTGGAGCGACCTCGGCCTCTTTTAAAACCACCACGGCCACGAGACTGCACAAAGTTAGCTGAATAGACATTTTTAGGCACGGAGGATGAAGAAATAGCTGGGAAAACAACCGTAGAAGAAGAAACATTGCTAGCCAATCGCATCTCATGCGTTTGCAAGGAAAACTGAACCTCTGGTAAGGAAATAAAATCAAGCCGAGAGGTGAGATTAACCACAACAGACTCATAATCGGCACCCAATCCACCGAGAACAT